AGATGGCCAAACTTTGTCTCTCATACTTTAGACATATTGTCAGGAGGGACCAGTTACTGGAGAAGGATATCATGTTTGGTAAGGTGGAGGGTCAGAGAAAAAGAAGAAGACCCCCAGAGAGATGGATTGGCCAAGTGGCAGCAATGATGGACTCAAGCATGGCGACAGTAGTGAAGTTGGCCCGGTATTGGGCAGTGTTTCGTTCTGCTGTGCATAAGGTCGCTAGGAGTCGGCACTGACTCGATGGCACCTAATAACAACAACAACAAGAGAAGGAAGAAGAGATGTGCAAGGAAACAAGACTATACTGCATGGAGACTAAGAAAAGGTTGTCATCTACTACTGGAAACTGGTGAAAGGACTTACATATTATGTTAATATTTCCAAAATGCAGCTCTGATTCTTTCTCTGGTTGCAGAGTGAAGAACAAACTGAAGAGAAACAAGAGTGAATGCAGGGAAGAGGAGTTGCAAAGTCAAAGACATAATGGTACCTTGCGCTAAGGTGATGATGGATTCCAGAGAACACAGAGAGTACAATGGGCAGGATCTGGAGACAGATAACATATTAAGAATGAAAAATGAGGACGAGGTCAGGTTTGTCTTACACATTACTTGATGTGTGATGGTGCTATCTATAGAAACAGAGAATACTACAAGGGAATTCATGCACCTTTTATTTCAAATTGAATAGAAATAGTCAATTATGCTATAATCTCTTTCTTTTTGATGAACAGATCTTACACATTAAAGGTGAGAAATGAATAACATTTAGATATTATGACAGTAAGACTATGGGGCAAAGTAGTATGCACTAGCAATGAACACTCACAGAGATATCTCTGCATCTGTGAATGTGCCAATATCAGTGGTTGCACCTACAACAGAGTTTGTAGTAACCCTTAAAGTTACTTCAAAACAAAACCTTCTAAATTGTTAAACCCAGGACACTAAACTGTATGGTCTCTATGAGCTGGAACTGACTTGATGGCAGCAGTTGTTTTTGTTTTGTTTTTTAACTGCGTTATTCTTTTTTTTTTTTTTTTTTATATATATATATATATATACATATATATATGCAGCAATGTTTTTTCTGTTAATAAGAAATGGTAGGTTGACTTTTTAAATATATGGAAGTTTGTGTAACTTTATCTGTGATGGACACTATGATCTGCCTAATGAAGAACTTACATTTAGGGTGTTGAGACGATGGCAGCCTGAGAAGGTCTAGAATTCCAATCCTTTCATGTGACCACCAAAAAAAGAAAGCAGAAATCTGTATTCAATCCTGTAAAAACCCTATTAGGTAGCCAAGTGATAACAACAAGGAGCCACAACTAAAATTTTAAAAAGACATGGATGAATTTCAAACAGAAAAATCTCTCTACGGTCCTCTAGCCTACCTGTCCTGGTGTAACAGACAGCTGGAAACCAGGGTAAACAGGAACAACCTAGAGGACTATTCAAGATGTAAGATCTGACTAGTCTGGTTGCCATCTGAAGGAATGAGACCTCAGCCTGGCATCATTCATTAAAGCCCTCACACAGAACGGAAGGAAGCAGTGAACAAGAACCAAGGCTGTGCCTCCCTGACAGTACACTCATCAGTCAAGGAGCTGCAAAGTACTGAAACCCTGGTCTGGCCTGAATCAGAGATCTCACAAGCCAAGGAAGGGAGTGATGACCAATGACTGCCTATGGTTTCTTGCAGAAATGAGCGCTTTCAAAAGCACCCTGTATTTGGGGAAAATAAGGTGACACTATCCTGGTTTCAACAACAACAAAACACTCACAAGGTATAACAAGAAACTGGATATGATGACTCATTCAGAATAACAGGACAAAAGAGAGAGAAATGATCTATATGGAAATTCATATAATGAACATACTGAAAGAATACAATGCAACAGAAGTTCAAGGAACTAGAGGAGAACACTGACAAAAAAAATTAAAGGGAAGCAGGAAAGTGATGTATAAACAAGACAAGAATATAAACAATGAGCTAAAACAACATAAAAAGAAACAAAAAAAATTCAAAGATATAATAACTAAAATAAAAAAACTGAGTGGAAGAATTTAACAGCAGATTTGAGCTGGCAGAAGAATCCACAAACTTAAGGTGACTGAAATCACAGAATCTGAAAAGCAATAGAAGACTGTTGAGCATAGCAGCAGAAATGTGAGACACCAGGCAAAGCAAACAAGTACATGAATCAAGGGAATTCCAAAAGGAGAGAAAGGCAAAACACAGAATATTGAAGACATCAGCAGAAAAGTATCTAAATCTGGTGAAAGCCATGAATCTAAAAATCCAAGATCAACAAACTCCAAGTAGGAGAAACCCAAAGAGATCAACACTGAAACACTATACTGAAGCTGAGACACTATACAAAATCCTGCAAGCAGTAAGAGACAAGCAAATAGCAACATACAAAGGAGCCTCAATAAGATGACTGCCAATTTTCCCTTAGAAACTCTTGGAAGTCAGAATGCAAATTACATATTTCAATTGCTGAAAGAAGAGAATTTGTCAACCAAAATTATTCTATCTGGCAAAACTGTCCTTCAAAAACAAGGGTGAAATTAAGACATTCCCAGATAAAGGAAGGCTGAGTGAGTTTGTAACCAACAGACCTGCCCTAGATGAAATGCTAAAGGGAGTCTTGCAGATGGAAAAGGAAAGATACCACATAATAACTAGAAGCTGTATACATAAGAAAGAAACTATCTCCATTAAAGGCAATTTCAAGGCAAGTATAAAGCGAGTTTTAAGGTATTTTTATAGTATTTCTAGTAATTATGCTCTTCTGGTTCTATAAGGCAAACGCATAAAAAATAAGTATAAATTTACGTTAACAGGGCACATGATCTATAAAGATGTAATGGATGACAACAACGTAACCAGGGAGAGGAAGAGTGACATAGAAATTGAAATTTTGTATGTTATTGAAGTTAAGTTGATACCAATTTAAACTGTTATTTAAAAATGTTAAATATAATCCTCATGGTAACCAAAGAAGCGATCTCAAAAACACACACAAGCAAATTGGGGATCTAATTTGCTATGTAAACTTTCACCAAAACCACAAATATTTTAATGTAACAGAAAAACACATGTGCGCCCCTAAGAACTGGATTGAACCTCAGCATAGTGATCCTGCTTGGTCACCTTAGAGCAGGTGGTGGACAGGCAA